GTGCGATATATATGTTAAATAATGTGCCTTTTTCCATGTTGACTTGTGGTGTGGTTTGGATTGGCTGTGGTGGCTAACAAGTATTCTGACTAAGCTATGCATCTACTCATCTAACTCTACAGTACTTGGCTAAATAGATTTAGACATCACTATTTAAATTAGAGGCATTGGGGAAATGGGTTTTCCTCCATTTAGTAGATCCTTTAAATCAGTGGAGACCACTACATGAGTTACAGGCAGAATTGGGGCACAAAGATGAAAGTCTCTGTCTGTGCATAGAAACTCCTTGGGATTCACTGGAAAAGCGCTGTGCTGACATCCAAACCCTGCCATCTTCTTCCGCTGCTGCTGCTGCTGCTGCTGGTATTATCCATGCATACTCTTTTGACCTGGGTGGTGAGGAACACCATGGATCTCCACACCCATTTGATGATCCTTCGTGCTCCTCCTCCTACCTTTTTTGTGTAACCCTTCTGCTGAGCACCTGTCAGCAGCAACAAGGGCTGGGTTCAGTTTTGGGGTACTAAATATATTTTACCTTGGCTCAAGCCGCCACCCAGGCTATCTGGGAAACACTAAATGAATCACTAGGATATCCACTAAAACCAACAACCCTTCCCTCGCAAGCAGTGTAAATGCAAAATCCAAGTTTATTATAAAGAAAAAGCAAAAGTAAGCCCTAGCTATAATTTCATAACACTACAAACTACAAAACAAAGTCTATAGGTGGCACCTTCTTGGGAAGGCTTTACCCATACCCAGGCAATCTGGGATTTGGGGCTCCCCAGCAGGTAGCTCTGGGGGCCTGCACCCCTATACCTGCCCTTCAGCAATGGGATAGAGAGTGGGTCCCACACTGGAGAGTCCTTTGAGCTTCTCCATGGGTTCACCATGCTGCAGGGAGCTGCTAGAGAGTGTAGATCCTTTAACTTTGCAAGGGCCCCTCCTTGCTCCCTGCAAAGCTGTAGCACTGATCGCCACTGCCACATGGTGGCTTTAAGGGGTTAACTGCAGCTCTTGTTAGCATATCGCACCCCCAAAGTTTCTAGTCCTAATCCCAGCTCTGCTGGGGCAGGAAAGCCAGCCAAACAGCAAAGGAGCCTGAACTGCAACCAGCATCAACCACGCTGCTTGGTCAGGACATAGAGCTATAAACGCAACAACATGTGCCAGGCCCAGACATGCAGTGAACATACAGCGGGGCTCAGCAATACAGCTGTGCTGAGACACCACAGCTGTAAAGCAATAAAAGGGGGATTCACACCTGCCCTGCACCAGGGCCTGAACGTACAACAAAAGAGTGCCAGACCTATTTGGCTGCAGCCTGGAGATTTAGTCTCAGCTGCACTGCTATACTGAGACCTGACAGCTATGAAACAACAAAAGAGGGGCCAGGCCTATCTTGGCTTGGACCTGAACTGCAACTAGCACACAACCACACTGCTTGGTTGGGGCATAAACTGCAAAAGGGACAAAAGATGGCCCAGACCTATTTCGCTGCCCTGGACTAGGCAGCTGTACCACCATGCTGAGACACTACAATCCCCAACATGGGGGCCAGTGACTGCCAAGACCCTGTTTCCTGGGCAGTCTGCACTAGGACTCATGGTACCACCCCACTCAAGGCCTATGAGGCCAAAACTGCCAGCAAGACACACAGCTGGGGTTCAAAGACAGCTATGATGAACCCAAAAGAAGTTGCAACAGCAACTAGAACGTGCCATGCTCTCAGCCCTGGCCCAGAGCATGCCAGCAAAATTGCCAGGCTCCAGACTTCGTTAGTTTGCTGCAGGGATTGATTCCCCCCTTTCCCCCTGCAACAGCATCATCCCACTCAAAAACCAGAAAAAAGCAAAAGAGGAAAGAAGAGGGAGAGAACAGGACTTTGCCTTCACATAGCTTTAGTCTTCTTCTCCAGTGAAGAGGGGGGACCCCCCCCTCCCCCGCCATGGGAAGCAGACTTTCTGGCTCCCAATTCAGCTTTCAGGCTTCAGCATCCCCAAGAGGGAAAAAGAGAGCCAGCCCAGGTGGCCTGAACCTCAAATAAACTTTCCTGACATCACCACAGGGTCCAAATCAGCATCAGCATCCTTTGAACACTGCTAATGCAGACAAGTAATTTAAAGGTGGCCAGCACTCCTGGTGAAGTGGCCAGAGTCACCAGACTGGTTCCATGGGTCCCTTGGAGGGACTTTTAAGACAATGGTCTGGACACAATGCGGGGAGAGGAGGTGGTTCTCTTTCAGTCCTAGAGGAGGCAAAATAGACAGCACAAACAAGATACACAGGAACATCAAACCAGAACACACTACCACACACAACCCCAGGTGTGCGGGGTGTTACATTTGTCATCATTACAAATGCATAAAAGGGAGCCCTCTTGTCAGCACAGAATATGATACACTACTCGTTCTACTGCTGCACTGAAGTCTTGAACTACTTTTCCAAAGGGGAGGTAGAAGGTTTTATACTGCCCTGTGTAGTTTAACTTCCATTAGGAACAAAATAGGACTGTCTTCTCTGGCCTTATAGCTACGTTTGTTGAAGGAAAAATAGATACCTCCAAATGTGGAGGAGAAGCTTGTGCTGTCAACTATATTAGAGGGATAGCCTAAGAGAAGCTAATTTGTGACAATATGAGCCTCATTGTGTTGCCTAGGTCAGTATGACCTTGGGAGATTGACTGCCTAATTACCAGCCATCCAGGCTGCTGGTACCTGCCAACGCTTTTGTGCGTGTGTCTGCCTCTGTCTTCCAGATTCCTGCAGGGTTTGGGGAGAAAGGAGCCCTTCCTTTTAGGGCTGGTGTTTGCCCAGTGTTTGGGAAGCATCTGCTGAAGCCCTTGGCTTACCAAAGTGTATGCAATACATCTCAGATGTAGTCTAGAAAGGGGCAAGTCTACCCTGCCATCTGCCTGGGTAACTCCTGGTAAGTTTTATTGGCAAAGAATATGAGTTACTCAAATGGGTAATTCAGGGAAATACATGCTTATAGCCCAGGGCTAGCAGAGGGGGGAGTTTACCACCCTAAGCAAATAGCCTGTGCCATACCCTGAAGATCACTAGATTCACGGTCTAGATGGAAGGGACAGATTTTGTGCTGGGGAGCTCTTGATGGTGCTGAAGGATTGAGTAGCAGGGCGCCCCATCAGTTGTCTGCTGCTGTGAAGGGAGATGGGGGCAGCAGTAGTCATTTAAGCAGCTGGATCCTAGACCATTTCAAGCTTTGAGAGTCACAAATGTTTTAGGGCCCTCCGCTGTACACCTGCATTCCCCTCCCATCCCTTCTGTGGGTTCACCCTGTAGCCAGCAGATTTTACAGTTTAATTCATTTTTTGCATTTAGTCAGTGCAGCTTCTGCCTGCCTCATAATGTCGGGTCACTCTTGGTCAGACCGACCACCCTTAGTGAGAGACTCTGGGTTAATCCCTGAACTGTAGAAGATCCATTGTTTAGTCCCATTGTGGGACTTTCCTTCTAATCCCACATGTGATTGCAGGTACTGTCCATGCTACGAGTAAGCGCTGTGAGTAGGGACAGACCATACACATCCTCAGTAATTTACACTGATTTTTTTTTTTACACTGATGCAAATTATACTGGGAATAGGAATGGGCGGATATACAGCTCTCCTGGGGTAGCTGCCTACAGCAGGTGATTCGTCCTACACCTTGCTACCACAAAACAGGAAATAGCCTAGTTGTCTTAGCAAATGGCTACCCTGGGCTGGAAGCAGGCCAGTGACATCTAAGCCATTTTAAGCTACGCCTGTGGAGCTTGACGTCTAATTTTTTGTAGAATATTTCTGCACCAGACTGGGCTGAGTTACTTCAGTGTAGGGGTTTTCATCATTTATTGACTACTTTGTTTTCACTGTTGGAAACATGTTGTCTGTCTACGCCTGGAGATACAGTGACTTACACAAGCTCAGTGAGACTATTTAATATACAGCGCAACGCACCAGAACAGGGCTTTAAAATGCTATGGCTTAAAGAGAATACAGAGGGATGGATTTTCAAAAATAATTGCATAATTGAAGCCTACACAATATTTGTTGAGAGGACAAACTCAGGGCACTTTGCGCCTGAAAGTTTGTGTAACATCTCACCCAACTACAAGCAAGTGATGTCCCTTGCTTGTCTTCCTGTGTCAGACACAGTTGTACATGCAAAGTGAGTTGTTTGAACTTTCTAATGCATTTTCCAATGTAGTTACCTGTTTATCCGTGCAACTTCATTCTTTAAGCTTGACTGATCTACCAGTGTGTGCAGTTTCAGCTGGGAACACAAACAAATACATTTTGAAATCACAGTGAGGGTGCTCTGAACATTTAAGTCAGGATTAAAACACACTAGATAGCTAGTAGTTTGGTTTCCTATGATGAAATGTTTGGGGGATTCGGTTTTATGGTATTCTAAAATTTCAACATTAGCACAGGACAGTCCTTTATATCATTCCTAAAAGCCTATTCTGTGTGTCATTCTCAATGACCATGTTCTCTCACGAATGCATCGTTTTCTGTGTTCCTCCATTTTTCATTAGTTATAGTTGCAACAGAGGGTCTCTCTCTCACATGGGTGGAAACTTGGGGTAACTTTTGACATCTTTGGTCATCTGCTGGTATAGACGTGTGCAGAATCAGATTATTCTATTTGTACAGGCAGAAATAATGTCCTGCTTTATTCTGCTGCAGCTTGTTTTTGCTACTGTATTGGTTCCTAGACTACCAGTAACAATAAAATCAAACCACGTAGTGCACATACTGCTATGTAAGATCTGGTAAGGTATCTTGACTTGCAACCTTCTCATTTTCTTTCCACTTTACCTTCTCCACCACTTGCCCATAATTTAAAAGCCTTCTTGCTTTAGTTCAAAGCATCTCACCCTAAAATAACGTAGCCATGTGAAATAAGCTCTCTTCCAAGGATCCCAGCCTATTAAAGTGACCCTGTTACCAAACTCTCAGCTTACTGTAATGGTTTTGGCTCTGTGTCATTACAGATTCCCTATGCAGCAAGCTTGATCAGGAAAGAAAAGCTCGGCACGCACCTCAGCAAAAGCTAAAAGGTGAGCTGATGAGTGTACTCTACAGATGGTTCAGCTGGCCTATTTCTGTTTATAGCATTGCAAGTATTAGGGCATTCCCTGTATTTCACAGCAGGGATGTTACTAGTACTGATCTAAAAGCTGTGCTTGTGGTTTATATGTTTGTGACTCTACCCTGATGGTACCTAAAAGTTGCTAGCAAGTTATGGATGTAACACAGGCCCAGATTGTGGGGTTTCCTTGGTAGGGAAGCACCCTATAGATGAGCTGCTGTGGTATCAGATGCACATTATACTAATTTCTCCAGCTGCCCAAAGGTGTTATTAAGCTTTGTTCTCTATGGGGGATACTAACACACATTTGGAGAAGAGTCGTTAGCTGAGCTAATGAAAGGGAGGAGAAGGAAATGGGTACACTATTAGGGTATTTGTCTTTAAAGGAATAGGCAGAGCAGGGAGCTGATTTCCATTAGCTAGTGACCCCCAGCTTCTCTGTACTAGTGAAGGAAAAAAGAGAGAGGGTGAGGAGTGTGGAGGAAGAAAGCACATAGAGCAGACTTAGAGCTGTTATGGCCCAGCCCTGGACTGGAGCAAAAATTATGAAAATAAAAATACTAATGACCACAAAAAATATTTAGAAGCAACAAGCATAGGCATAAACAGATACAAGCCAGACAAATTACTCACAGCCCCTGTACCACATCAGTGCACAGGCAGAGAGTTACAAAGTCAGTGAAATCATTGCATTTATTTTCCTCTGCACAGGTTTGTATACTAGCGTGTGTGAACCATAGACTCTTGATACCTCGGCAGATCCTGGACTGTCCGAACACCAACTTGGCATGCAATTCAAACAGGTTAATAAGTTTAATACCAAAAAATCCCTGAAAGAGAAGGGGCTTGGGACCTGCATCAGGGTAATTCAATCAATGAAGAGCTGATCTAAAATAAAATCGCTTGCCTGACCACGGCATTAGGCTCCTAATTCTTTCCTGCTTGGGACCAGGTTTTCAAAACCAGACATTCCCAAAAAAAGAAGCTGTTGGAACCACTCTGCCAACGGGTGGGATGCCTCATCCTTATGCACGGAGAGCACGAAGGATTGATGCATTTCTCATGCTGTTTTTGTTTTCAGTGACACACCATCCCTGCAGACAACAGGGATTTCTCTAAGTAGACCCTAGTGCTTTTGAAAGATTAGTGGTTACTTAAATGCTAAGCTAAATCAGCCAAGCAGAGAATCGCAACCATATTGCTGGAAGCAATTTCTGATTCTCAATGTGCCAAGCTAAACAGAGCTGCCTCCAGAGGAAACATGTGTTTGTGTGTATGTGTGCGAATGCGTGCGTGCGTGCATGCTCACACACATACACTGAGGGAGACAGAGGATCTTTGTATTTCTGAACAACTGCAGACTAATCAAGTAAGGCTTGACTTGTCTGAATGAACATGGTCCTTGAGTAGCCTTGCTATCCTATTCTACTGTGAATATCAAAGAGAAGCTCTCAAAGCAAATCTTAGACTTCCTATGGTAACGTATACTGAGACCTATACTGCAATCACCGTTCCTCAGCAAAACCTCTGCTGCCACATAGTTTGCCTGGTGATATGCTCCTTTTTGTCAGCTGCCTTGCTCATGGATCATAGCATCACAGGGAAGTAGGGCTGGAAGGGACCTCGCAAAGTCATCTGATCCAGCCCTGGTAACCTGTTTGAACTGTATGCCAAGTTGGTATTCAGACCATACAGAACCACAAAATCATTTAATCCATCTCAAGGCAGGAAAATCCCTGACTAAACCATCCCAACCAACTCTGTCTAACCTGTTCATGAAAATTTCCAAGGATGGAGATTTCACAACTTCTCTGTTCCAATACTTGGCCACCCTCGCAGTCAGAAAGTTCTTCCAGTTCTCCAACCTTAATTTCTTCTGCTGCAATTTGACGCCATTGTTCATAGTTTCATCCCTAGACCCAGGGAAAAGTCTATCTCTGTCCTCTTTATAATCTGTATTCTTTTTATACGTGGTGTTAACTGAGGTACAAAGTGGGCACGTCTACATGAGACATTACATCGCCATAGCGACAAGCTATGGCAAAGTAGCTCATCGCTATGGCAAAGCAGCATCATCAGGCACTAACCGTGACACAGCCCCTACTGCGCAGTAGCAACAAGCTCATTGCTACTGTGCAGTAGGGTCAAAAACAACCCGTGCGCCGCTGAGACTGTGCAGGCCTCTTGAAGGTTCAGATCAAGTGTTTGCTAAGGGGCACATATAGATGCGCAAAGGGCACATATGGATGCTCCCAGGAAGTCATAAACTGACTAGAATCATATAGGGACTCAGGCTACAAAGAGACATCACATTTATCCTGGGATAAACCTGTTTATCCTGGGACAAAGTGCAATGGGATAAAGTTCCTGGGATAAGAAGTAACAACAGTTTGTCCATGGACATTGCACAGCACATCTGGATGATTATCCTGGGATTGCATCATTGAATCAATGGCAGAAAAGCAGCAATGTATTCAGCCGCTCTTTAAACCCTGATTAGACGGGTGATGTGTGGACACTCCAATCCAGGGCTATTTCTGTGCTGGGACAAACAAGCATAACTTGTCCAGGGACAAATGCAACATCTGTCCCTAGCCTCAGTGGCAGAGCCAAGGACAGCCCCTGGCATCCTAGTTCAAATTTCCCGGTTTAACCACTAGATGACACCCTTGGTGAATAAGCGTTCTTTTACCTGTTACATGTGAATGTAAAGCTATGAAATCAAAGGGATAAATGCAGCACTGTTTTATAAATATTTGAGTAAAGAAATCACGCGCTGGAATTTATTAATGGTAACATTTGCTTCTTTTTTTGTAACTAGCAGAAGCACACGACCCTCTGCAGCAGTTCTCTTATAAGGTACAACCCACCACTCAGAAATCTGACTTGTTTAAAGACTGAGAAAACAGAAGGGCTTGGGAATTTAAAAAGCAAGCAAACAAAAAAAATCAGGTTTCTCTGAACCCAAGGACAAGTGACCTCAAAGCATCATGGACAACCATGTAAAATAGAATGTAGCAGCCATTTATTAGTAAAAAAACAAAAATCAAAAAATGCCTGTCCTGGATCTTTTTGGTGGTACCAAAGTTTAAGTCTTTGTGTTTTTAGAAGGACGACTGAACTGGGTAGAGTCTGAGAAAATGCTGCGAAAGGGACCGTGCTGATCCTTTCAACGCCTCAAACGCTGAAATCGTCTGCAAGTTCATCTTTTGCTTTTGAATAGTGATTGTTTCATGGAAAGAAGTGTGTGACTTGTCAGAAGGGCCAGAATCACATTTGGATGGATGGATGGATGGATGGATGGTTGGATGGATGGATAGATAGATGGAAGGAAAAAGCGTTAGCCATACACAGTGCTTTTTAAAAGCAGACTGGAAATTCCAACACCTCCCCACTTCCAGGCCCCTGTTCTCCTCTGGTTCTTTGCCTGCTGTATGAATTAAGATTGTACTCTTCTGGAAATATTTTACAATTTAATATTGAGTGTAATTAAGAATATAATCACTGTTATCAAAAAAAAGGTATTTAACTCTGTTGTAGTTTCTTTATCATTCATGTGGATAAAAAGTCTATAATAAAAAAACCCTAAAACTATGATGCCCTGGTTGTGCTTCTTTGGAATTTAATATTGTGTGCTCATTAAAGAGATCAGCAAATCCAATATATATGCCAGCACTATTTTTGTTTTCAAATATTTGAATACATTTTATTTTTAAGTAGAAGTGGCCAAGATTCTTATTAGAAGTGCAGAAATGGATAAATGAAGATGATTTGGGAGATGCAGGGATGGGATTTTCAAAAGCACTTGGCAGATTTGACCTGAAACAACATCTTTTAAGTAGACTTAGGCCAAATTGTGAGGGTTCATGAAAACTGCAGTCAATCTCGTGGTGTGTACAAATGCCCATAGTCTGTTCAAGAGTGTCCTGTATATAGGCCATATCATGATCACTTCAACCCAGATGAATTTGCAGGGGCCCACATTAGGTTCCAGGCACTGCTTGACCCTGTAGCATAGATTTCAGGAGTATGGAGTACCTCATCCAGTCCCTCTGCACTGTTGTGAGTTTTGCTTTTGATCCAGATTTTACCCAGCCAAAGCAAAGTGTGAAGACACTCTGGGAACAGATCACACTGGTATAAAATGTAGAAGACAATAGGTACTTGGGTGAAGGTACAAAAAACTATAGAAGCTGCAAACCCTGTTGTTTATTGGGACAGGTAGTTCCTGCAGACTGAGTCAAACTCAGAGATTGTTATCATTCATGTACTAGAACACCATTTAATCCACCATTTCTATTTAACTTCCTGTATTTCAGATCTTGATGAGCACTGCCTATATAAATCCAACAACATTATGAGAAGAGGACCCCTAACAATTTATAAACAGGGAGCTAAATTTCATGGGTGCTGAGTGCCCACAGCTCCTATTGATCCCTGATGGGAAACTGCTAAAGTTGTATTACACTTTAAAAAGAAACATGCAGCTTGTAAAATGAATGTAAGTCTCCCACTTTGCAAGTTATAATACAAAAGACTGCTGTCAGGTTGACTCCAGATCCCTTTTGCTTTGAGAACTAATGACATAGGAAAGCAAGTTAAGAGTTGCTAAAGTCTTTGCTGGATCAGGGCCTGCTTGGTGGTACAAGGACTGTGACCTGGAAATAATCAAACAACATCAATTAAAACAATAAGCTTTTGTTCCTGGGTCTTCAGTCCTCTTTTTCTCCAGGGCCCCAGAACATCTTAATCCATCTCTTCCCCCTAGGCAGGAGTGGGACAAAAAATGAAAGCCAGAGCCTGGTGGGGAGCAGAGGTTAGGTAGGAGCCCAGGGGCTGCAACTTATCCCCTCATGGGATGCATGTAGCCCACCAACCACCAGTTGGACAGTCCTGTTTTAAGGTATTATGGCACCAGCCAAAAAGGTCTGGAAGATTGGAGCAAAGATTTCAGTGCGACCCCTTGGTGCTCCCCTTCCCTTACAGCTTTTATTCCAGTTACTGACAGTGTGTTTGGATTCAGGACAACTGGATCCTCAAAATGAGAAATCTCACTGCAACCTGGAGCCTCAACTAAGTCTCTTGACCGAATCAGTGTGGAAACAGCACTAACCTCTCACTCTTACAGAAGACTTGAGTTGTCCACCAGGTTCCTATGATCCTAAAGAGACTTCCCAACAGCTGGGAACTGGCCCCAGCTTTAGGTAAATTGATGAGGGTTTGATTAAAGTTTAAACTGGAAACAAAATATGTCTATTTTGGCAATTGCAACATATGAATTTCATATCAGTACCAGTGGGAATCTGTGTGTACATCAGCTCTGGAAAGAGATGCAATAAAGAGTGATATGAATTTTTTGTGTGGGAGGGAAGGTACTTTTAACCAACTGGCCGCAACATCTCTTGTGAAGAATGATCTCTTCTGTAATGCTTACTGTGATGCATCTGACTCAGAGGCTAACCCACACTATATGGTAATAGCCTTGCTCAGTGAAAGATGACTAATTTGCTGTTATCAGAATTCTGAAGCCATTGGTTTGATAAAGTGCAGAGTATCTATTGTATATAACAGATTAGGAAAACCCTGTAGACCTAAGGAAACAATTGGCAAAATATTTTTCTTTTTGTATTCATTAATTTTCATTCATTTTAATTTTCTATTTATTAATTTTCATTCATTACATTCTTGAATGCCTTTCTACAGAGAAGAATTAGTAACCTATATGTTATCCAAGTTATTGATTGTGAGTGGAACAAATGACATTGTATCTTATGTAACTAACTCATGCAGATGACTTGGTAGTATATGTATCTGTTTTAAATTGTACATTCACATTTAATATATGTTACTGGTTAATTGTGCTGTACCGTATAGCCAGGACTTGGAGATGACAAGTAGTCAAGCTGAGAGTTCACTTTTCACACTGGTGAAGCTGAAGAATTTGATCATTCATAGGGAACAAACATAGAAGATCATGATTGCAGTCAAATCTACTTCAAGTGAAAGCCATCGTGATTTTTATACTATTGTTTGTTTCCTTCTGATCAACCCTCTGCTTTTTGTAGCTGTTTATAATGCTCAGATCCCAGCTATTTTCCTCCCCGCAACAAAACAGCCATCAGCATAAAGATTAATACTACCAATTGCACCCTGAGGGTGTGTTGACATGTGCATTAGATCCAGGAGCAGTTTACTTTCGAGTAAACTACTCATGAGTGAATGCTCCTGGGCAAGCATTTACACATGCAGGGATGCGGAAGCAGATTTGCTGCCAGTAACAGCAAACCGCTCCCACTTACTGGGGCCTTGTAAGATGTCTCCTGGCTGGGGCTGGGGCTGGGGCTGGGATTGCTCCCTGCCCCCAGGAGGCTGCCTGCTGCCAGGATGGGAACAATGTCCCCCTGCCCTGGCAACAGGGAGCTCCTGGCCCCAGCTCCCCAATCAGAGGCAGGGAACTTGGAAAGAGCTGCAGAGAAGGGGCAGGTCCTAGCCCCCTGCCCCAATCTGCCAGTGGGGCAGCTAACAGTGACCCCATGGGTGGGCCAAGTCTTGTGCCTCAATCACCCAGTCGGGGAATGGGGTTGGGACCTGCCCATGACCTGGACAGTTCCCAGCCCCCACTCTGCCACTGCAGGGTGGGAGCTGGAGAGCGGGTTCCCTGCCCAGCTCTGTGATCATGGAGCTGGGTGGGGAACAGGCTGGAGAGGTAGCAAATTTATTTGCAATTAGAGCAGTTTACTGCACAGTAAGCGTGTACACATGTAGATGCACATGCTTACTGTGTAGTAAACTACTGCACAGTAAAGCATCTCGTGTAGATGCACCCTGAAGATACTAGATCACAGACCTAAGTGTTTGTGCAATGATATTACTAGCTTGGGGCTTTCTTGCCTCTCTAATTCATACTTTCCCAAATTTTTCTCCCCTTGTTATCTATTGTTAAGGGCATTTACTTGAAAATAATCTTCTTTCACCTACAGAATCTACAAAATCCTGAACTTTCTTCCTACTTAAAGTTACACTTTCTCTGTGTCTTATGAGAATGCACAACAAGGCCATCCTTTAGTGGAAAGTAGTGCATGCCACTTTGACATGACATCATATGATATTTTGATGGCATTTGACTTGATGATTTTCCAGCTTTTGTTGTTCCTATTCTGAAATCTCTGGTGAGTCATGCCCCATGTGTTGCAGAATAGCTACATACCTAAGCACTTGCTAAGTCTGCAGCTGCAAACAGTATCAAGGAATGCCCTGATTATTAAAGAAAACATTCTTATCTTATCTCAGTACCAACCTGGTTCAAAAAAAAGGATTAACAACAGAGCCGTTGGGAACTGGTATAATGTTTGGGGAAGGAGGGCTTGATATGGCCCAATTAATGCATCACCCTTTGTTACAGGCAGGAAGTTAAAACACAAGTGGGTTACAACCAGGGATCAAAATCCACCTCAAAAAAATTACTGCTGGGTCTTTCCAATTTCTTAATGATCCTCAGTGTGTCAATAGGAGTTGGTCCTGGCGCTCTGGATGGCAGAAAACTGTGGAAGTGCAAAGAGCAGGAGCTGCTGCTGAGAGGACACTGCCTCTGTTGTATTTCCAGGTAATACCAGCAATTAAAACCAACTTTGCTTTTGCTGTTGATCATCTACCATTCTTGTATCCTTTACCTTTCATGAAAGGCTTGTACTTCAGATGACCATAAGCTTCATTATTCCTGTTTCTCGGGCTTTCTGTGATACCTTAGGGCCTGCTATGGCAAAATTACATGTGTGTAACAGTAGCAGCTCCTTGTTGGGTCTTATTCTCATTGAGCTAGATTGTTTTTACACCCACAATCAGTAAGGAATGGTATGTAACTGTAGCACGGAAAAGTTACCGAATCCTACTTCCAACCCAATCTCATGTCATTCTTCACTTTTCATTATTACAGTATTGCTTAGCAAAGTGCAATAACTCCCAAAGTGAAACAGTTGGGGATCCTGCTTTTTTGAATACCATTATATATCTATAACTTACTGTAACTTGGACTTTCCTCTGATTTGAATCTGAATGAATAGAAAGCATGAACTCATTTCAGTGATATTTAAGAATCTCTCTCCCCATTTTCCCTATTCCTTCCAAACAGTCATATAAAAGACTCTTTGGTTCACAAGGATGCATGTGAGATGAGAAAGTGGCCTTAGTGCTTCCAAGAGCATTTTCACTGGAAATACAGACAGGAGTTATGGGCACTCAGCACCTAGCCAGAGATATTCAGTAATCTACCACTTTTGGCTCTTCGTGTGCATGCGAGAGAGAGAGAGAGATGTTTCCTATAGGACCTATCCAAAGGAAGCCAGTGGGGAGATTCTTGTTCACCTTGGACAGCTTTGGATTGGGCCCATAAATAGTATAACTCTCAAGATTTTACAGAGGGTTGTTAAACAAAAAAGGGGGAGCAGTGGAGCAGGCAAAGGCATGAAGCCCTCAGTGCTCAGAAGTCCTCCAGCACACATGGAATGCAGAAGCCTTTTTTCCTTGTTAATCCTAGTTCCTAAGACTCAAGGACCCCTTAAAGAATAAGAAGTGGCTTCACTTTAGCAGCCTCCCACACATCCACCCGACTGTGATGCCCCCAGCAGCAGTGACTTCCTCTCTCTATTTTGGGAAAGGAGAGGGAAGACTTTTAGGACTCAGCTCCTGCTTCCCAAAACAAGAGGAAGATGCTGCTGCTACTGCTGCAAGTGCTCAAATGAGAAATATTGAATGTGTGGAGTCCTACTGAAGTGGGGGGGCCTGTGTCACAGCATAAGTAGCTTATGGATTAACCTAGCCCTGCTGTGACTATATCAGGCCTGCTCTGCATCCACTTCACTGGCTCGCCATAGAATACTGTTGATATTGGTCCTTCCGAGAATGTAATGAAATGCATGCGCTTGGTCATGATCTTCCAGTGCTGAATGATCTGGGTTGTGAATGCCTAAAGCATCCCCCAAATGAGATTCATCTCCTCGGGTATAATTGTGTGGTTCTGACATTTTTTTACATTTGTACTAGGCAATCTGGAAGCCAAGCTGAGATCACTTTGTAACTACTTATTTATAGGAACAAGCAATTTAGGAGCTTACATCCAAAAGTGACTTGGGGCCAGATGTGAAAGGATATTTAGGTGCCTAAGGGGGAGAAAGTACCCAGTGGGATTTTCAGAAATTTATAGCTCACAGAGGTACTTTTGAAAATCCCACTACGTACCTATCTGTATCATCAACGGCATTTTAATTAAGTTCCTAGGTGTCTAATTTGCTTTTGAAAGTGGGAGTCAAGCTCCTAGATCACTTGGGCACTTATGAGACATATGTTTTTTCTCATAATACAAATCTCCATAATTAGACAACACCATGGTCGTGTTTGGATCCTCGTTGTTTTAGTCCTTGGGTCAAAACAAGATTTCCACAGCCTCTTTAAATGCTTCCAGGGGCTCATTTCACTGCATGCTAAAGGGAGCATTGCCCTGTGTGTGGATGTAGGACTGGGAACCACTGTTATATTCTTAGCTCTATTTTGGATTTGCTGTGTGACCTTAGCAAAGTCTCTGATCATCTTTTTGACTTAGCTTTGCTGCCTCTGAAAATGCAGTTCTGCGCATTACATTCAAGTCAAGTTTTCATCAGGGTAAATTAACTCTCTGAGCTCCATGCTGCCATGACAAGCCAGCTACCAGTGCCAGCTCTAATTTAAAGTTAGTTCAGGCAATGTTGTGCTATAATACAGCGCATTCAGTATAGAACAGTGGTTCTCAATCACGGTGCAGTGAGCTCCTTTTAAGGGTGCCATAGTGTCCCATGCAACGTTGGCACTGTTGGATGTGCAAATACTTGCACGATTCACAAGCTAAATCCAAAGCTTTCAACTAGGAACCCATAGTGTGAAAAACATTCTGCCCTGTTGCAGTCTCTCTGAGTAGTTTGCAACCGAACAATTGCTCTATTATTTTGTAGTCAAGATAGGAGTGAAAGAAGAGCTGGCATGGCGAGGGGTGCCTTGAGTTTAACAAGGGTCTTCAGTCTAAAAAGGCTGAGAACCACTAGTGTAGACATACCCTTAATCTCCTCTTCTAAGACAGGCTCTATGTTCTCATCATCCTAATAGCCCTTCTCTGTACTGGTCCACTTTGAATTCAACTTTCTTTGCCCAATAAAATATATACGGTATTCCAGATAAGGTCTTGCCCATTCTTTATACCGTGTTATTAATACTTTCCTACTTCTGCTGGAAATACCTCACCTGCTACATGCTAAACTTCACTGTTTTATGGCTGTATCCTGTGGGCAGCTCTCATTATCCTGTGACAAACTGATACACCCGGGGCTTTCTTCTCCTCTGGCATTTCCTGCTGCTGAGGTTTGCCCCCCTTGAAGTTGAATAATTCCAGTATTACCAAAGCTTAGGAGTGTACTGACTTCCCTCTCACTGCCAAGTCATATAAGTGATGTTAACTCATGCCAGTTAATGCGTGTTACAATGCATCTATTTTTTCCTAGTGAGGCCATGGTCCAAGACTTCAATTCTGTGCGCCTTCCACATCCAAATACCCACTGAAGCTGGCTGACTTCGGGTGTTGAAGGCAGGTGGCACAATGCCCCTCAATAGAGTCTAGTCTTTACCCCATCCTTTTTACAGAAGAGCAGATGAAAGGCATTGCCTACCATGAGAATCCAGAGTCGAGAACCTGTGTGAGTCACCCGTGTACTTTATCGATCTTCTGTAAAAGACAAGGATTATTATTACAGCCTACCATAAAAACTGCGGAGAAAAGAAACTGATTAGGAGAGGGAAACAAGTCAGCAGTTACTCCAGAGATGCTTCAGGCTGCATCTTCTCTTTTACTTGGAGTCTGACATGGTGAAGTCTATTGAGGGATCATCTGCAGTCCCAAGGTAATTCAGAAATTTGCAGTTTCCTCTCTTTCTCTTCTTGAGTTTAGTTTCTGTGGTCAATGGGTTTTTTTCTGCCAATTCATTTTACGGCAGGAGAAGAGGAGATGACACAGACTGTGGCTGGCAGGTGCATTTGATAAGTTGCGTTCAGGGGGAGGTGCAGGTGATCACCAGCTCTCGGGATCAGGTGCTTGGTTTTTTTAGGCTGTTCCTCGGGAGCAGTTCCTAGATGAGTCCATAGTATTCCTCGTGTGAGTAGGACAAGAAGTTTAATCCAACAACTCTCCACACACACACACACACACAGAGGGAAACAAATGTGATCAGTAACAGGTGCAAAGCACAATTGGAAGTAACAAGTGCAAGACAGTTGATCTAATTGATTCTTCTGCTTTGCCGTTCCCTGTTTTAAAAAAATAGGGTTTCTTCTCTCTTTTTCTCTGGTTTCAGGGCATCTGATGCTCACCATTTCCGACATTTCACTGTGACCCAGGCTTCAGGGTTCCCGATTTTAAATCTGATGTAACTTTTCATACAAATGTGAGAGTTCCTTTTCCCGCTCTGTGGAGTTTTATTTTCTTCAGCCATTTGGATTATTTTGTACAAAAAATCCCTTTTACTTGAATGTTAGTGTTTTAAAAAGAATAGGATATAAAGCGCAACCTGCACAAGCTTAGTGACTCACTCTTTTGATACCTGAGGAAATACCAAAGGCAGTTGATTAAAATATTTAATAAATGTATGTCATCCAGATACAAATTCAATGATTCCACGCTGCTTTTACATCCTGGGAGAAGGTGCAGCCTAAATAGTGTACAAGAACCAACACATTAACGGGACAAGGAAGGAAATTTAAACATGAAGTGTGAATATATAGATATAAATGTCTATATGTATATAAGAACAGAGATCCCTGGGTTCAGCAAAGGGGGAGAAAAAAAAGAGACTTGACCTCCCCGTTGTTTAATGGAGGCTCACACCTGGGATTCTTTCAGTTATATTTTTTCCAGTAACTACATGTTTTAATTTTTTAACCGTGCCTTCAAGAGTAGAGGATAATCTTGGGATCAAGACATTGAAATGGCAGCAGGAGATCTGGATATGGTTTCTACCTCTTGCATAGACCCTCTACCTGATCTTGGGTGAATCACTAATTTAAACAGTCTTCAGAGAAGACACTGCACTGCAGGGTTCCCCTCTCTTCTTCCCAGCTAACCCCAGGCTAAAAGATTATACTCACTCTCCCTCTTTCCCTGGCCTCAGTTCTTCTCTGTGAAGTCAGATGTGAAGAATCCCACCCCTATAGCAGTGGTTTTCAACCTGTGATCTGCAGACCCTGGGGGTCCACAGACTATGCCTAAGGGGCCCGCGAAAGATGACTGTGATCAATCAAAAGTATGAGAATACCAACACTTACTATTTAAAGTAAGTCCGCGCCTCCATTTGAAATCTTTTAGGGGTCCACAAATGAAAAAAGTTGAAAACCACTGGCCTGTAGCATGGAGGGTGGGGCACAGTGGTTGATGTTTGAAGCCCCTTAGATGTGGGGAGAAATCAAACCACTTGGGCAACTGCTCTAAGCACTGGCCTACAGTTTAAATGGGGATGGCAGTGGTGGTCACTCTTATCACAGTATGAAAAGAAAATATCACCATATTTTTGCAGAGCCTGATGCCTGAGATGTGCCCTGCAAATGCCTCGGGGGATCAAGGAGTGAGAACACCAGTTTCCCAGATCCCAATCAGTTTGACGCATGAGCTAGGCATGGAGCTGCTCAGTCTCCTCGGGTGCTTCTGGGCATGCTCCAACGCAGAACTTGAGGGCTGTAGGAAAATGTAACCTCAAACACTGAGGCTCCAGCATGGGAGTGGGAGTCTTCAGCATCACAACTTTGGATGTAGGCATTTAAACTCTGCTTAAGTCCCACTTTAGGCAGCCAAGTCCCTTTTTTTAGATTTGGCCTTTAACTTCTCTGTGCTTTACTTCCCCGGCACTGGGATAGCAGGGCTTGCCTCTCTTAGGGATCTGGAGAAGATATGACCACAAGATGCTTAGCTACTCTGCAAGTATCTAGGTTCATTACACTGAATTTCAGCAATAATTCATGGTGCGATCCCTTGTCGATCTTCTTCTGCAGCATGGCCAATGACAGTAACAGAACACTGCACAGCATGTTGGCTCCCAGGAACGCAGGTACTTTTCTTTTCTAAAGTATTTTCTTATGGGTTTACAGTGGCTTATGCATGTATTCATTTGTATGGCAGTGGTGCTCAAAAGGCTCAATTGGTATCTAGCTGTCATTGATCCACTTGTACGAAAGCAGAGAAAGACTCAGTCACTCACCTCAAAATTGAAGTATTCCAGGGCAGGTAAGTGATGGGTAAAAGGATATGGAGTGTGTTGGCAGAGTGACTGGCAGACGTATGCTCATAACACCTCATCCCCAGGTGGGAGAAGAATGAAAACAAGGGACTCCAGCCAAACCCCAGACCTTAGTCAACTTTGGGTCAGGCCCAAAAGCCAGAATGGATAGAGTGAGGCTGAGGGGCCGACAGCCTGTTGTGGCAGAAGAAGGGTGGGATGAGGGGTCTACTAACCAATGTCAATGCAACAAAGGGTGTGTTCCAGAAATCAATTGTCCAAATTGAATGAGTGATGATAACATCAGGGAGCTGCAGAGGCTCCTTCCTTTCTGGAGCAAGGGAGGGAAAAATCAAGAGATCTTGTGCCCCAGCCCCCATAAAGAGGATTACAGGGTTGACATAATCCTTGCAAGATCAACCCCAGCTGCCTTGGGGAATATAGGGCTCTGGCATTTCCTCCTGGTCACTTCCTCCTAATTGCCACAGCTATTCATGTGGAGTGGAGGAGGAGTCCCCTTGGCACAAAGGGGTTTCATTACCCTCATCACTAACAAGGGGCCAGTTTAGTCTCAGCATCACCTTATCTACACCCCAGGGTACCTTGAAAAGCAATGAGCTAACAATGGGCACAACAGTTAGGCTGATGGGACAAGGCTGACACCCAATAACACATGTAATACAGCTGCATAGTCTAAGCCAGAGCTGTCCAGTCCAACTTCTGAGTAATCGGGGGGCTACAGGCCCCCCAGCCACATACTGTGCTACATGCCTTACTATCGTCCATCCTCTCCTGCAATGGCCTGCGCTGCATAGGGTCTCTGGGTCCTCCCAAGCCCCCCACAGGTGCGCTCAGCCACAGGGCCTGCACTGGTCTGCCCCCATGGGTGAAGGCAAGAAGTGAAAGCCAGAGGGGGAGAAGCAGCCCAGAAACTCCAGTAACAGAAACAAGGGAGCAATGGGGGAAGCAATACCTGAACAGGGAGCCCAGGGCACCATAGTTTAACCCCTTAGGGGGCCCATGCCCCTTGCAAGATGCCAGCTAAAGAGTTTGGATCTAAAGATTAAAATGGTAGTTCCCAAATTTTTCCTAGCTGTGGCCCCATTTGCAACTCGTGCCCCACATTCTGATCAGCTCATGACTCTATTTCCAGTCCAAACTCATTGACAGTAATTGAATTGTTGCACCGCCTACATCCCAATCAACAGTGCCAGCAGAACCAGGAGACATGGGATCTATTCCCAGCCCTGCATCTTATGTCCCGTCTGAACTTTGGCAGGTCACTTCATGGCTCTGTGACATCTTTAAACAGACATCAGGCTACCCGCCTAAAAGAGAAGCATTATATTATGCTGCAAGACCCTTGAATGAAAAGTGGTACAAAAGAAAAATGCATATGTATATGTGTTTAAATGCCTTCCTGACTTCAAAAATGATCAGCCTTTCCATTTATGTCTGCAGTGTTATTAAAAACCCAGCTCCATAACAAATATTAGAATTTTCATTAACAATTAAAAAAATTAAGTAAAAGAAGCTGGGACCATGGCACAAGGGCTACATTTTCAAGACTGTTTCACAGCTGCAAAACTTATCTATGATTTTCGTATTTTGTGCAAGGTTCTTCCAGCTCTGTGTATGACATCATCATGATATCCATCTGTGGAAGTATGTTACTCTTGGCTGTGATTCACCTTGCAGTGAAAGTTCTCAGAAAGTAAGTAGCAGACTGCCATAGCGCCCCAAACACAAGTAACCCATGGGACTGATCTTGTAGCTGATGTTGGTTTTGCTTTGTTTCCATTGGGCTAGCTGTGAAAAACCATGCTGTACTGACAAGGATCCTGCTATAAATGAGGTGATCCTGGAAAATATTAAAGTGAAGAACAATTGTTGCGACAAGATTTCAACAGTGGATTTTATTGGGCCAGGATATGTAAGTTACATCTCAGAGCAGCAGGCTGGACTCACGGAGCTTCCAGTCCCTAAAGAGACCTTTTCCAGTGGAGTGTTACCTTACTTTTCCTATGCATGCTCATTTACACCCCCTGATTCACCGCCACTAATACAACGACAGCAATGACGACTGGTAGACCCTTCCATCTGCAGAGAATGATATCTTTCTCCTACTAGAAAAGTCTTTATTAGAAGAGACAAATACATGGCAAGTCCTGGGAGACGTGCTAGCAGACTGATTCCACATGGATGTCTTCATTTCCTTCACTGGAAGGGCAAAATGCCAAGACATGGATCATGAAACTGGAATGTGCCAGGAGTGATTAGAGCATTAGTGGGGAGTAGACTCTGCCCTCATTTGTGTATATATGTATATACCCTGTACTACAGTATATCTGTGTGTAGAGTTGTATTAAAAGATGACTAAAGAAGTCAGGGATGGAGTTCCTCATTCAGATGTTCACTCCTTTTCCTCCACCAAGAAAAATTCCCCCTGAAAAATTCAACCTCCTTCCTCCTCACTCTCTCTTGAATCTTGGCAATACATCTGAGCTTCTGTGTGTTGGCACATGGCAACAGTTTGGGGTTCAGCAAGGGCTGAGCCTACCCAGGAGCACCAATTCCTGCAGGCAGCTGGAAGTCTGTGCAGAAATCTGGTGGGTAATGAAGACAGCATTAGTTTGCTCTGGTTTCCCACAGCATCCAGACGAAGAACATGGCTAATGGCAGCAGGGCTTCTTCAGTAGCAGGGTTGTGGAGGGCAGGGAGAAGGGAGAGACTGTGAAAATATGCCCCATCTCTTTGCATCCTGGAGGTCTCCTGCCTCTTTAAGATACT